GTAAAGTATAAAACATTGTTATTTACAATACAGAGCGTGGTTTTTAAATCATATTTTGAGGGGGGACATTTGTATTTAATGTGATTACAATTTAATAAAAACGTTAGAAATGGATAAATATAACCTTTCCTTTCCACGGTTATTCAAACAGCGAATAAATTATATATAGAAAGTGACCATCACTAACGGTGATCTATCGCGAGTTTATAACTATAGTTTTTTTTTTTTTTGAGAGTGCTTAATCACTGAAGCTGTATACACTGTGAAATGAATCTCTTACTTACATTGTACGTACATCTGCCCTTTGTTGTTTATTATGAGAGAATTTGCAAGAGTCCGGAATTCAGTCAGCGAACGCACACGCACTCAACTGATGAGTTTCAACGATGACTCATCTGAACTCCTCTGATTGGCCATTGCATTCCTAAGCTCAACAGAATTGTGATTGGTTAAAATGTGCAACACTGGAAATACGGTGCAACATGAGCAGATATTAATTTAATGCCGCAATCGACACTGTCTGTTCATAGTCACTTTGTTAGCAACAGACGTAATAGATTTAATTTGTTTGTGCAGGGGCATTTTTGTCCAATTTAGTGGCATTTTTGCCCCAAGTCCCCAGGCCAGGGGAAGGCTAAGCAGTCTAAAAACAAGTCTCTAGTCTAGACCTTGCGGTTTAAAAAAACAAACAAAAAAAAACCCTTCCACTGACCTGTCTCGCGACCAAAACACTATCTGTGTGAATCCGGTCTGACAAATACATAAATGGGCCACATGTGTTTTTTTTTTTACTTTGTGCTACATCATCACCCCCTTTCGTTACCTCAGCCGCCCCCTCATCAGTGCTGCGCTGGCGCCGGCTCTGAGGATGCGAATATTGAGGAAACAATGGATGGTTTTCACGCTAAAGTAAAGTAAAAGACCGCTTCAACAGGTGAACAGTTGGTATTCTTGTGGGGGGAAAAAAACATGCAAGCACTGCCCCCGGCACTAAAAAGTTTAGTTTTACTTTTCTTTTTGTTTTCATTTTGAAAAGCTTATCTTTGCTGTTTACCTCACATGATGCTATGGAGGCTTTATTATTTATTTATTTGATTCCTCAGTGTTTGCTAAACATTCTGTAATTTATTTTAGTCATTATGTAATACAGCATGTGGTTTATGCCATGCCGCAAATCTTATTTGTTTTTGTTAATAAACGTTATGTAAGCTAGTTTGTCATTGCATCTTAACGTTTTATTGTTGTTGTGCTTTTTAATTAAAAATAACAATGAATCCATCTTTTGTTTTAGTCTTAAAAAGTGAAAGGTGTATAGATGTATGCAAAACAGACAATTATCTTGTATTGTAAAACGTGACAAGATCGCGAAATCGAAAGAGAAAGCATCCGAAGCCTGGTGCTCTGTCGATTTGTGCTACCCTGTCAGATTTTGCTAC